CACCCAGCTGCTTCCAGTCAGGTGTAAAAGTGTAGAAACAAAAGATGACCTTGGTCTTCTAGAAAAGAATGACAACAATACATTCCACAATCCTACTCTTGTCTATTCCCCCCTCCCATCGACTATACTAATGAAACAGCATAATGAAATAAGAGAAAGTGTGGCAGGCCAAAATTCTAAAAAGGAATATAATTGCAGGCCTGACAATGTATAATTAAGAATGTAAAAATTACATTTGAAGACATTTTCAAAAATAAAAGTAATGTCCCGGGGATACCTTTGGTGAGACGAAGCCAAGCACAATCATTGACCCTCATTTTCCACGTCAATTCCTCCAAAGAAAACAGGGCAAATTTTCCCAAGGAGATAAACTTCTTCACGTTTCTGTAAAAGCGGCGCTTGTTGTGATTCGAACCCCAAAGCGCAGGAGGCACCACTCTCTCTAAGCATCCCCTCACGAAAGTATATACTTGCCAGTGACTGCTATACTGCTTCAGCAACGCTATGAAATCAGAACTGGAGGAGTAGTCTTGGAAGGCTTGCTCCTTATCTTTTTTTTCAAATAATTCAGTTATTTCTGGGCTTCTGCTTGAAGCACCAGTTTCTGCCGATGGCTTCGAGGCCCCTGACCTGCTCGCGATGCAACCTTCTACTGGATTATCCCGCTGCTTCTTTGATGAAAGTTGCTCTACTTGGTGGCCATTTTGTTGGGAACTCTGCTCCCGTAGGCTTGTTGTAACCGGTTCAGAAACTGAAACGGGACAATTCCTTTTTAATATAGCTTGATAAGGACACTTTGCATGGTTCCGTAAGAGTTCTTGGAAGACACTTCTCATCTGCCAGTAGCGTTTCGGAAGCCTCTTCTTTTTCTTGGGGGCTGTTTGAAGGCTAGAACTTCCAGGCTGCTTCAGAATCTTATTGCTGAAGAACACTTGTTCTACTAAGCCTCGTCCTCCTGCTGGATGGCCCTTCAAGTGATTTAATACAAACGACTTAGGTAAACTCTCTTTCAAACGCTGGTAGGAATATAAGAGAGAATATCTCTCAATACGCACTGCGGGAATGCTATTGCAAGACTTCCCGACGGATTTAGATGAGCAGATTCCAAGATTTCTTTCTGGCAAAACCGTTTTTGCAAGCGCCCGTCGCGCAGAACGAATATCAGAGGTTCTAGTTACCAGCTTTGGCAGGTTAGCAATGCATGTTGGTTGCAGATTAGATCCACAAAATGGTTTACTTATACTATCTTGCTTTTCACACACTAAAGCATCTGCATTGTCATTAATTGAACTAGGTACCCCAGATGTTTGTACTTCGCCATTCCGAGGAGCAGAGTTCATAAGAGTTAAACCTTTTGAACATGACTGTATACATACCCTAGAAGCTTCAGGTTTACCACTATCTAAAATCAACCGATTTTGGTTTTTTCTAGAATCCGAGTTTCTTGTTTTTTTCCCGACATTGCTCTCCTTTATCATGATTTTTATTTTCTTGGCATTAATATCACACTGGCCTGTCCATTTTCTTTTTAAACCCTGTGTTCTTAATGATGGGCTAAGAGAGGACTTTTGTTGATTTTCTATGTGTTCAATGGTTCTCATAATTGGCCTTTTCTTCATAGTGTTTTGGCCAGAAACACTTTGAGCTACTGAAGACCACCGATAGTTGTGTTGTTGTGTTTCGTTCCATTTCTGCCTTTCAGAATTCCATTTCTGCCACTTTCTTTTTCTGGGATACCACCTACAAGACCGAAATCTTTTACGAAGATAAGTTGTCAGGATACAAGGAGAAGGCCCGTGAATCCTCTGTCTTAGAAACTTTGGAGGCCGTGTTACATTTCTTGAAGCAAGTTCATAGACGGGCTCTCCACAAATTTGGTAACAGCAGTTAGGAGGCACAAGGAGAAAGAGAGCACAATTCTCTAATATATACATCATGATGTCATCCCCAACTCTGTTTAGAATGATCTCCCAGCACACACTCTTTCGAATGGTTTCTGTTGAATGATTAAACATGTAGCTACCAATATTTGGCATACAGGGCAACTGGCGGTTATTTTCATCCAATACGGAATAGCCAAATGTCAACACATTTTTCTTCTTCTTTTGACAAATTCTCTGAATGATCCGCGTAAGGAAATCATCCTGACAGGAAACCTGCAAAATAGCAAAAGATGCTCGCTAGCAACATTCTGAATAAACCGCAAATGGCATTTAATTAGAACTGAACAGAAATGCAAGGGAAAAAAATCTTACTTTATTAAACATACCAGTGGATAGGCGATATGTTGAATACACACATATAATGAAAAAAAAAATTTCCACCAAATATCTAAATGAAAATGCAAACTTGAGCATTTCTAATGCCGGCATATACACACTTTCTTCACTTAAAGCAGGAAGCAATCTCTCAGTCAGATGTTAGCTACAGAGTTGGATGCAGGCATGGCAATCTTGAATTCTACAAGGATACCTTTTAGTCTTGGTACTTCTGCTAGCAAATAAAAATGGGCAAGAGCTCCTTAAAGCATTTTTAATCATAACTGTATATAGAGTTTAGTGTAAAAAAGTGAGAAAAGTAGCTCATTTATACTTATCAAAATGTAGGATTACAATACCTGCACAGATTTGGTCCAAAATGACTGGAAGAAATTACAGAAAAAGTAAGTGAGTAAATTGACATTTGAAATTAGAGAGCAAGAGGATGAACAATTTTATAAGATATGGGATTTGTTCGATGGGTGCCTGGGGGAAAAAAAAAACTTTGGAAATGAAAAATGATATACTTATGCCTTAATTGAAAAAAGTAAATGATG